CAGAAGGATAAAATGTAGCCAGAGGGACCAGGGAAAAGCAAAAGACTAGTAGAAGAAAGCATGATATTTATTCATTGACTTACATCTAGCCATCTAAATATTTATATGACTGGGAAGGCTTGTATTTGTTGAAATAGTTGACTATTTCATCAATAGTCCAATTACAGCCTGAGTCTAGAGTCTCAGCTTCAGTAAAAATAATCCCCCTCTAATTTTAAACCAAAAAGCAGAGAAAAGAGATACGTAATATTGTGTATTTATCAGAGTTATTAGCTGAGGTGCTCAGTGATAATACAGAGGTCAGCACCTAACTCCTCACAGAAGATCATGTATTTGCAGCTTATTATGAATAACATCTGAATTTCTGACATTACTAACTAGTGTTTTGGGGGCATTTTGCTGTAAGTCAAGGAGGCAAAGGCAGAGCTCCTTTGCGCATCCTGACCTTAGAAGCTGCTCCAAACAGAAGGCTCAGACAACTGTCACAATTTCAGCACTTGCACAATCTATTGCAATTGACATTTCATTTAAACAATTTCATACGGGTAGGCACAAGTCACCACATTTCTCTCATACTGCCATCCTCTTTCAAACCAGTTTTGATCAACGATCTCTAAGTGCTCTAAGTTCAGAGGGTCAAAAATCATGGAGGATCAGACTTCTAGGAAAACCATACCCTCATTACTAAGGTAGTCTATACAGGGAGAACTCAGCATCTGTATTAGAAGCCAGAAATAAATTTTAGGTAACGCAGGGAAAACAACATGCGTTTAAATGCAAAATTAGTGAAAAATCAATTAATTTGATTTCCAGTATCATGATCCCTTCTCTTCATCACTTCACTCCTCCCTTTCTGTACTTAGTATTTACATACCCTGCAATAAAGGAAGTAACATTTAACTTGAGGATTTAAGAGTATTTTAAGACACTAATTTCTCTGTAATCTAGTTGTTAGCATTTTATTGCTAGTAACTCATTAACAGCACTTTGATTTTCAGAGAGTGAATACAGATTAATTTAAACAAGAGTAATGAATCTTTGAATAACCATTTGATTGTGGAAACCAAAGCGTTAGCAACAGCCTACGTTACAGACCAATTGTTTTTAAAATGTTTTTTAATTACAAGTATCATAGGAAAGGTAAAATTTGACTTAGAGAGAAAGCCTCTAGTATTTAAGGCAGAAGCCGAAAAACAAAGAGAAAAATATTTACTTCCAATACGCTGGAAGCGGTCTTTGCTTTCAAGTCAGAAGTGAGCAGACAAGTTCTCTGGCTTTGGAAATGAAGCATCTGAATTGAAATCTTAACAGGTTTAAACACTTTGAGAAAGCTTTCTAGAGTTTAAAGGAAAAAATTCCCACATACTACTACTACTATTTTACATTTCTACTAAAAAGCCAGTAGATTTCTTTTGCTATTGCTACCTAAGCAAACTTCAATCTATCCAGGTCAAGACTGTCTATACATTTTCATACCCCACTGACTGCAGCACAGAACCACCCTCTAGTAATTAGTATAGCTTCAAAATACTGCTAATACATACTCAATACTGTGAAGACAAGAAAAAAAACCCAGCAAACAATCTCCAATTTGAACGAATCTCACTGTCAATGTATGTGTCTCATACTTCCCAGCGAAAAGGGATAAAAAGGGAGTAACACCATTCTTTCTTTCCTAGACTTACTGACTGCACCAGAATCCTGGACATCAATATGTGAACCTTGAAGGTATTTTGGTGTAACAGAGCTCTTAAGGAATAAATATATAAGAACAGCCTGCTAAAATCCAGTTAATGACTGCCCTTAATTTTCACCTTGCTGGGGTAATACTGTGTCATACAGCAAAAGAGAGTAAAAAAATTTTTTATTTAAAAAAATTAAAAGTGACAAAATACAATTGCAGTTTTTCTGTACACCACAGAATTCTGTCTCGTTTGCTTTTGAGAATCAGTTTTCATTTGTTTATAAGGCTCAGAAACTTACTTGAGGCTCTCCTGTGAGCTGGATGATGACCTGTCTGACTGAGGGAGAGATGCTATACTGCCAGAATTCTTCAAGTATGTCTGGAGGCTTCTTTGATAGGGTGGCTCAAGAGAGTTGTACAGAGTCTCAGCTTCACTAGGAAAGTGATTTCTAAGACCCAGATAAGCTCTGCAAAATAAGAGAAAAAAACCCCATGCAATTGCTCTGTATTTTCTTCTAACTGTGGAGTCAGGAAGTAAAGATTACAGAATGAACTAGTGATGGGAGGGAAAGGAACTCAGACTGATAATATGTAATGCATACAATACTGCTCATCAAGTCATGAAAGAAACCAGCTACATTGACTGAATTAATCTTTTCAAAATAACTTAAGTCTGTCTATCTTCCAAAATTCTTATATTTGCTTACAGATTCTGTAGGGAAGCACCAGAAATTCTCTTCTGGCCTACTCACTAGTCAAACTGTTGCAGTAGTTTAATGACTTAATGGGGTGGGGGCAGCAGAGAGAATGATTATGCAGCAACATCAACTTTTATGACTCCTGTTTCAGCAGAATCCTCAAATGCTGCACAATAGCATTAATAGCCTCAATTTTCATAATGTCTTTCGCAAAACAAACTAGATATTAATTCAGGGACTCAGAACAGAATTTCAACCAAACTTGTGTCCTCTTCTTCAGCCATAGTTAGCCACTACCTCTGATTAGAGCCTTCTACCACTCACGTAAAACATGCAATTTTTCAGAGCAAAATGTAGTCAAAACTCACTTTCTTGCCTCCACTCTTGCTTCTGCATCAGCATCATGAATGCCCTTCTTGATGGTTTCAACCAAGACAGCTGCATGCCTGGAAGAAAGACATTCTTCATGCTATTTTGCTACTCCAAATTCTATTTTAAGTAGTGACACTTTAGACTTCAAGTAACATTTATCTATGCAAAAACCAGCTGAGATAACTCTTTCTAAAACAGGACTTAAACCAAAGCTTAAGCACACTGATGACATAATTGCACCTACTGTAAATGTTTAGGTAAGCTTCATCGTTCAATCTAAAAGAATTATAATCTACTTTTCAGACATATCCACCCATTGCACTTAAGTAATTATTTAAAAACACTCTTTTTAAGAAATCTACTTTCCTGAAATGAAAAATCTACTTCCCCTACTATATTACTAGTAAGAAAAAGGAAAAAAGCTAAGATTAGTAAGTTTGCTTCCCTGGAGATTCACATCTGAAAGCTTTTAGCATATGAGTTCTAAACCTCAATGCACACTCAAAGAACAGCAAAGCACCCATCAGAACAACCAGAAATTGTGATGAACAGGCTTTAATGCAGGACATGTTTGGGGTTTTGTTGGGATTTTTTTTTGTTTTATTTTTGTGGGTGGTGGTGTTTTGTTGTGGGGTTTTTTGGAGGTTTTTTGGTGGTGGTTTTGGTTTTTTTTAGTTACACACATATACGCTCTGACATAAATCAAGTGATCTCCCCACTGCTCCCTTTCTCAGGAGCACCTTGAGGGGTTGAAAAATTACTACGAAGCTGGATGAGTTCCTCAGAGTCTTCTCTGGAGGTCCTGTAGTCCCTTTGGTCTTACCTTGTGCTCACAGTATACACTCTGCAGAGCTGATACATGTACTATTTTCCTGTCTACCCAGAGAAGCTACAGTGTGCTCTTAATCATTACCAGAAAAAGTCCTCCAGCCTAATCCCACTTGCCCTCTTTTACGGCAAACACACAAATTTCCTCCTTTCAGGAGAAAAAACACACGTGCATCTTTGCTGCACAGGATATAAGTGAACCTCTAAGAAAGCACAGTACACATTGTTCACATGCAGTACAGCAGAAGAGACAGAGCCTAAGGAGAGGAGGCAACACGAAGTCAAGGCTGGAGCACACAGCTCTCCTCCTTGGCACCTGAACAAGCCACATAACCTGCTATGCTAGAAAGTTTCTTTATGCTAGAAAGGTTGGCCAAGACTGAACAACATAATCCAATTAAAGGTTTCAATGAAAAGATTTCTGTCTTAAAATTCATTAGCAGTTTATTCTTGGGGAAAAAGTATACTGGTCCATACCTTTCCAATGAATGTGTTTGCCACTCCTGTAACAACAGGTCTAAAAATTCAAAGGAGCGCCTAAAAAGACAGAACAAAAAAGTTATAATTAATACCCACTTCTCTAATGTGCTTCTGGAATAAACAGTAACTTTATTCTTTCCCCCCGAGGGAAACAAATACATAAAAGTCATTCATCTGTCAAGTAAGGACATTGGTTGCCCTATTGCAAAGTTAAAATATGCTATATAGAAAGCAAACGTGCAAGGCTAACCAATCCTAAACTTCAGAAAATAACTGTGGTTCATTTAACCATCTGCTGCTCAAGTCACACTACTGCACATATGCTGCGTTAGTTTTATTAGATCCAAAATAAGAGACAAAAATCAGTAAAGTTTAAAAATTGTATAAAGTATTAAATTTTAATATAAAAAAATCAATACTTTAAAAATTCAGCTATTAAGTCACAACATAGTATTTCCATGGCAGTGTACTTCTGTCCCAAACACTATTCCCATCCTTTCACCTGCCATTATTGAGTACATAGCACAAAGGAAAATATGAGACCATTAGTACAGGGCTTTGCCTATAGAGAGCACTCCTAAAAATTTGCTAGCACTGTACAAACTGAGTTACGTAACTAAATTCATTATTAATTCAGAATTCTTGACAATTTAGCGTACAGCCATTGGCAGAAGGCATACTTTAAAATATGTCTGAAGCTAGATCCTGGTGAACAAATCAAATCAACACAGATTAGGAAGGTGTAGATAAGTCTTCAAAGAGGTAGTGGATTCTCTTGCCTGGAACTATTACTTTTTCTGGTTATGTTGCATCTTTGACCTGCTCTGGAGGGGCAGATTTCATTTTTATTCTACCCAAATCCTCTGGACACCTACAAGGCACAGCAAGAAACCCTGAAAGACTTTTCACTATTATAACTGATCTAGTTTTTCTTTGTCTTCACAAAGGCACGAAGTCAGTATGAAAACAACGCAATTTTGGCCACCTTCACTGATCCTCACTGAATTGTGAACCGCAGTACCAAAGCCACCCCCAGTCTAACTTTCTGCAGCAAAGCCGTGCTAAGTGGAGGCACTGAAGCCCTGTGAATTGTTTTGCAGTCAAACCAGAAGTTAGGACAGATCAGTACAATCTGGATTGAGATAATGCTTGCTTTGGATACAAAGACAGCTTAGACTCAGAGCAAATAGTTTAGATGCTCAAGCTATTTCTTGCATACACATAGCTATAACGCTTTCAGGGCTAATGCGGGTCCAGAAACAGCATTAACCGCTTTCATGAGATTATGTGCAGAAAATGACACTCTGTCAGAAACCAATGAGTTTTGTCAAAAGCCAATCTCAAGTATCTAGTATTCTTGGAAAAAGCAACATGCTGAAGACGCACCACAGCTGTTAAACATGACACCACACTGATCCACCACGTCCTAGCTAAGGTAGCAGCCACTGTCTCAATCCCAGTCCCCATCATGGTAGGTTTATTATTTTGGGCACAGTATCAGACAGCCTAGCTCCACGCATTCAAACCACATGGCACAAAAGTTATGAAGTTCTGGCATCAAGACAGCAAAGTGCTGGCACACACTGCATGCAGCACGCTATAGTGCTTCAGCAAGAGCTAACCTCACTAGGCACGTCAGGTCTGGCCCAACAGTAACTAATAGGCTCCGGCTGGTTCTTCGCAGACACATGTATCTTGTTTCATGCTCTCCCAATGCCTCTCAATACCTGTGTCAACTACAGCCTCTTTTTTTTCCTTCTGGTTTTAAATCCGGAGGTACTTTTTCCAACAAGTGTTAGGAACATTTTAAATTAGAATCAATTCTGCAGGAGGATACGATGTACGTCCTCCAATACAGCAGAAAGTACCACTCCTCAACACCATCCAATATAACTTTGCTGAAATTTGGTTTTGTAGTTTACTGGATAACATGGTTTTGTGTATTCAGAGTTAAAGGCCATAAATCTTCAAATCTGTTTATTTTCAACATTTGATCACCATATTTTAAAAAGCAACAACTATAATAATTTGCTACTTATAATGTACTCACCTTCTAACTGCAACTGACTTTGAGGTACAGTTGCTTGTTATTAAAGGTATGAGTCGTGGCACATGAGTATGCTAAGAAAAAGGACAAAGTAGTTAATGACAAAAGCATTTCTGTATTTGAACTTACTAATTAAGTCAAACAGAATTAGCAACATAATAAAAACTGCAATCATTTAAAATGCTCACTGAAACTAAATGTAGAATACTATTAAATACGAGACTGCTGCTAGCTCATCAACTGATTAAACCTATTTTTTTTCCAAAAGGTCAAGCAAAAAGCACTTCCAATGCCATCAACAGCCACATCATGACTTGCAGCATTTAGGTGTCAGAAGTCATATGAATGTAACTGTCTCCTCAAAGGAGCTGTAAGCTGATGTTATTTTAGTTTTGCCACAGAAAAAAAAAAGGCAATAGATGTAGCAGTCTTAAAAATCAAAGTTATGGAGCAAAGAGTAAATCAATCAATCTGAAACTATGGGCATTGTTTTAGGGATCAATATGACTAGTACTACAAAGACCAAATTCCTTTCAATGCAAAATATGTCAATAAAATAATAAAAGCATTGACAGTTAATACAAGCAAGCTTATGTACATAATCTATATGGAAACACCTAACATCCTCATGGGAAAAGAAAACTCTTGAACTACCATTTCAAGTGGATAAGATAAACTACATTAAATCCAAATGCAACACTTTAATTCAGAATTAAAGCTGCCTTACTTCAGCTTATCTTAACTAACTGTAGACACGAAGTATTAACACTTTAATTCCAAGTAAGAATAACAGCTCAACAAATCCATTTTCAGTAAACTTCTTTATTCCTTTCTTGATTAAATACGTAAGATAACTTCTAAAACAGTCCCCAATACAGTGTGAAACTGTAGGCTACAAAAAACTGCTTAAAAAGCATAGTGCTTAAAAACTATAGTACTGAACAACTCTTAGCATCTCATGCATCATACGTTCTCCTGTGGTTATTGTTGCAGGACATAAACACCCAGATCTCCAAAAGAGCAGAGAGATAAATTATCAGTGCTCAGAGTAATGCCAACTTGAGAATTAGGAGGGAATTAATCCTAAAAATCTCAAAGAGCCTAACAGTTGCATTTGTTCGTACTAATAGGCTCTTAAACAGCGTTTTAGGGGTTGGTTTGCTTTGCATAGTTTTCAAATTGAAAAGTGGCATGTGACTGCCAGAAAGGGAACAAGAAGCAGTATCGGGGAAAGAATAAAATGTTTTTACAGATGGAGAAACCTATATGTCCAAGTCTTTGGAGCTACTGACATTGTAATTTCTATAAAGTGTTTTGCAAAGGAATCAAAGCCTCAGGCTTGCTTTCACTTGGCTTCAACACTGCACATTTCATCTGTTACCCCTTTGAAGCTGTAATGATACGTGCTTCCTCCCAACCCACCTTGCAGCCCAGTTGCCCAGCGTGAAGCCCACCTCTCTGGACAAGATTTTCTGCCACCGCACCATTGCATCATGACTCCCCACCCCCACACCATCCCCTTTGGTTTTTCTAAATTCATTTCCCGGTTTACTAAGAGTCAAGAAAGAGAAATCAGACTACAGTATAAGAACTATCTGGAGAAGAAATAGAAAATCCAACAAAGGTGCAAAGATGAGATGGAGCTCTTCAACATCACTGATATAATACAGCCTCCCTCATTAGGTCGACTCACTCTCACAGCAGTTAGATACTAAAGCACCAGGATCTGAACTAGCTGTCAGTGGACTCTGGTAGGAGTTTTTGAGTAAAACACTGACTCCAAATGCTGTAATGACTTTAACTATTCAACTGATCACAGGCTTCCTGACCAACTCTCATTTAGTCCAAAAGAGCGCGGGGCTGCACTTAGTTTGACTCTGATATTTCTTTTTCTCCCAAAACCTGAATTTTCTGTCAGAACACCTTGCATAAGGCATTTATTAGTTGAGTATTTGAACGCTATGGATAGGATTTTCCTGCTTCTACGCCTCCAATCTAGTATGTTAAATTACAGCTAAGAATAACATAAGTTTAAACAAAATCAGGGCATCTATAGCCAATGTGTAGGCTTGTCTCCAACTGAACCAATAAAGCCAATTTAATACAATTGATGAATTTTTATTTCATGCTGCTTTTCTGGTGATTGATTTGGCTCCTGTAAACAACAAGTCAGGGTTGGTTTCTTCATGCCTGAGCTCACTTAATACTACTGCAAATGGTATTCTTCTCCTACAACTTTAATCATCCTGTGTAAGGTATATTCCTTCCTCCACTCTCAACTCTGTGCCACTAGCCATCTCACAGTGCTTTGTAAGAGCCTGGAGAAGAACACCAATGGATCTTAGCCCAAGTGCTAATGCAGAAGTCTCAAGAGTACATTCTCAGAGGAATCTGTACTTACTCTGTTTACCTGTGCCAAGTACTGAGGATGGCAGTGAAAGGTGTGAGTGACCAAACCACTTAAGTTTCCAACAACTTACAAAATTAAAACCACAGCAGTAAGTGCCTAGCATTAAGAACACTGCAGCTTTTAACGCAGAAACTACAGGTAATCGCTCACTTTTATTTGTAACACAAATATCAGTCCAAGTCCCAAAAATCTAGCTAAATATCTTGCCTCAGACACTGGTCAGTAGCAGATGCTCAAGCAACAGACAAAAAACCCAGATAGTATACAGCATTCCCCTCTTCTCTAGGCTACAGCTTTAAGAACTCATCTTAGAAAATTCTTAAACCTGAGGATTAAAATCTCTACTGGGCTTTTCTTCCATGAACTTGTGCTTTCTGAACTGATCCACACATGTCCGGCATCTTCAACACTTTATCAGTAACTCCATGGTTCCAATTGTTTTACTAAGTTGGTTGGGGTTTTTTTACAATAGTTTTGTTGGTTTGGGTTTTTTTGTTTGTGTTTTGGTTTTTTGGGGTTTTGTTTGTTTGGTTGTTTTTTTGTTTGGGTTTTTTTTAATTCTTACTAGCTTCTTAACTACTAGCTTCACTTTGTCTTTTCCAAAAATGCAGTTAAAAGCAGTTATCCTTTGAAATATGCTTGCCTTTTTACAATTAACACATTACAAAAAAAATAATGAAAACAGACATGCTTTTCAAGCGTTTGTTTGTTGTTTTTTTTTTGTCCCGCCTGGACGCCTTCCTGTGTGACCTACTCTAGGTGGTCCTGCTCTGGCAGGGGGGGTGGGCTGCATGATCCTTCGAGGTCACTTCCAACCCCTAACATACTGTGATTCTGTGATTCATACCTGTTCCTCCATCATTACTATGCTATTGCTGCCAGCTGCTTTCAATGATAAATAATATTTATCCATCTATGAGAAAACTTACTTCTCCATTAAAGAATGATTTATAATCCTGTATTTCAGAATTGCTATTACCTCTGCTAAGAGCCACTACTTGAATGTTCCTAGCAAGCAAAGTGGAAGATGAACACCTACCCGAATAATGAATCTAATGGCTGCACACCCAGAAGTTGCCATCACTTTGGCGCTGTTTGGAACCAGATTAAAAAGAGTAGGCACAATAGCTTCAGCGCCATGATCAAACTTGTTTCCCAGAACAGTTGAAAGATGGCTATTTAGGAAAAAGAAATACAACTTGTTAACAAAAATTAATTTCTTAGTCTTAAAATCACAAAGTTCACTGTACATTTTAAAGATTTCTCTTTCCAAACAACAGAATTTAATTTCATGATTTTCAAGTCCTTGCCTCATTAGAAATGCAGGAGTCGTGAACATTTTTGTTACTTAGACAACATTAAGAGGTCGAAGGCTAGAAACTTCACGTTGTGACAAAAAACAAATACCACAATTTGAAAGGCTAAAATTTTCATATCCACATAAAGTATCATAGCATTTCTGCTTTTTAACATACTTTGAGAGCATATAAATCTAAAATGGAAATTGAGATTTTTTTCCCCTTTTGAATGCAAACAAAGCTACTGAATTTATCATAATTAGCCACCCATAAATTTGATTGCCTCGTTTATTAAAGGTTACAGATTCAATTTTAACAAATATACAAACGCATACAACATACAGTAATTTAACTGTCCAGTGGTGACATAAATGCTTCTTCCAAGCACAGAGACTATATAAAAAGAATTTGCAGTCAGCAGCAAATGACACATCAAATATACCTAAGTTTTAGGGATCAAGAAAAATTCCAGGGTTTTAGGCCTGGATGAGGACATTTACACAGTACTTTTACACTACTCCCGACTTCATGTCAGGAAAGGGTAGCATTATTTTCTCAAAGCTTCAATTCCCCTGGCAATGATAGCTGTATGCTCCAACAGGTCCCCAAGGTCTGTTCAGTCAGACCAGAACAGCAAGGGTGAACTCTGGGGCTTATTTGTTCCAGATGGCCACTGAAAATCAGTGGTTACATTAATGCCTTTCCAGAAGAAAAAAAAGCCATGGAAAACATGGAAGTGGGAAAGACTGCTCCAGTGTAAAAATAAGGCTTTACCCCCACCCTTGAATTAAACGAGAGTCCCCAAGATGACAAGGATGAAGATCTCATATGAAGATCTCATTTCTGTTTAGCCACAGTTTCTGTAATTATCACGGACATGAAAGATCTTACCTCACCAAAACGTAAAACCTTCAAATCACTATAGGGCATCTCACTTTGTTATTATAAGTAGTCACAGTAAAGTCCTGCGCAATCACCCAAGCATAAGTGCTCCTAAGACCAGGCCTCAGTATTACAGTAGTACTTACGGCAGTTTGGATTAACTTGCACTAAATACTCAGTGTAATGACAGTAACTTGCTCTTCACATACAAAGTTACAGGATTATCAACTACATAGACCACCAAAAAGAACAAATTCCTTTAAATGGTTCTTTTTCTCTACAGCTTCATGTGCTGACTTGACTCTACCAATCACATAGAGCAGTACAAGATAATCTTTCCTGCAACACCGCTGAAGCATCTTTAACTCAAATTCATTCTAGAATTTCACAATGTACACAAATGCACATAAACTGTACTTACGCTACTGTAATGCATGCTTCTCTAACCACCTGGGATCTGAGATCCTTGGCCGACAGCTTGAAAGCACCATCCAACAATCGTAAATGCTGGAAAAATCCATCATACTGTGCAGCTCCAGCAACAAGCAATGACCGAACTTTCTTCAGCTAAAGAATTTAAGACATTTAGTTTAGGACACTACCAACATGTATTTCAAAATAAGAAAGTAACTTCACTGCAAAAATGTATGTAGGCATGTCTTTGAAGCAAAGCATCATTTTGAAATAGATGGCATCGATTATAAAAACTGCAAAAAAATTACTTAATGTCTAGAGATTAAAAGTCTCAGATTCCAGTCTACAAATATACAAATACATAATTCTGTTCACATACCTGTTTCCAAACACTAAAATGCCATAAACCTGACAACAATTATAAATACTACTAACACACAATCATTTTAATCCTGCAAGCGAAACTTATCATAGCCACACATAACAGATACTAATGCTAGCAGTTTACCTGCAGAATATGTAATTTTGCATAAATACTAACTGAAATATACATGATGGCTTTTAGAAAAGCTTCCACTTGCATCAAAAATGCATTTCGGCCTTTTAAAAATATTGCTCAAACTTATTTTGTTTTGAACAGAAATTCAAGTTCTAAAAATTAAAATGAAAATTTCTTTGATTATCTGGAATGCAACTACTTTAAGAAAAAAGCATTTAAAAATATCTACCTGCCTGTGCTTTATGAAATACACCCACTCAAACCTGAAACCAGATAAACAGTTTACCGCATTAGTTCGTTGATCCCAATCATGTTTGTCATCTGAGAGAATTTCCCTGATTTTGTTCAACGTTTCTTCAAGTTCTCGACTAGAATAGATCTGAGATATCAAAAAAAAGAATCAGAAAATTTACATTGTTCAATATCCCATGCAACCTAAGGAAAATAGTTTGAGAAGACCGAAAATATAACTGTAATTCTGATTCCAAAGTTCCAGAGAACTGTGTAAGAGGTATAAATGGGCATTTTAAGGCAAATCTTTGAGGATATCACTGCATAGTGAATATTTATTAATACAAAAGCTGAAGAACCAACGTTTTCCTCAAGATTTCACCTTTGTGATGAGCTAATCCTATACAGAATTTCATTAACTCTATTTCAAAACAATATCATTCAATACAAGCAGAGGTTTTAGATAATCCACTGCAATATTACTGTAATTCAGTTTAATTTTCATACTCACTATCATAATGAAACTCAACCAACATATTTTAACGTGATGCAGCTCTTTAGGGGTAGGGACCCTCTTCCACATTACAAGAGTGCATGGCTCTGTGAGGACCTAACTGGGCTGCTAGTCAACACCTAAAGTTTGTCTGATAAAATCCATTAAAATCTTCAATAGCTTCTATATGTGTTACCACTCCAAGCCTATTATGAAGTCAGTAAATAAATGTAAGGAGCAGCCTTCAGTTGGAGCTCTCTTTTCGCTATACAGTAACTCCAACAAAATTGAAGCCTGACCAATCTAATAATGCATCCGTCACCATTTGGTAATACATGAATCAATGCATGTATTGGTAACTTGTAGACGTACAACAGTGAATTTTAAAAAAGAAAATAAAGCATCTAGTTTTGAAAATATATTATTAACGGCAGGAATAAACTGACTTCCCTTCTATTCTCCTGGACATAAACCACAGAATGCTCTTATTCTGCTTCCACTGCACAGGCAAAATTTAAATGTGGGTTGGTTTTATTCCCTCCCGATTCAGAAAAAGTTGAAGATTATATGAAGCAAATTACTGACCAGAAACCTGATCTGGCCAGAGGTTTTTCAAAAACAAATTTTCAGCTGAAGACTTCAAATTTTTTGGATCAAAAGTTGTTTACATAAACACATCAGGTAAAACTCCTGTTGCCTACACACTGGCATCTAGTGCCATCTGAGATGCATCCAACACATCCACACGGGACTGGCAGACATGATTCAGGACTTCAGGGAAGCTCATACCCTTCTAGAGTGAAAGCTGAAGGCCACTTACGTACATAGCACCTAAACAGCAGTGCTCCCTCATTTATTTAAGTCCAAGATACAATTTTTCTATGTGCAAGAACACAGAGCACACAGAGGGAACAAGGACCAGTGGTAGGACACCTTGCTTCGCATGAATTGCTGAAAAGCTTTAACACTCTTCTGCATGCATATATGCATCTTTTATTTTATAGTAAAAAGATTTAGGAATGTCTTTCTTCTCTTCTACAGTTAAGCTGAACGTGTATTTTCTACAAAGCATCTTACTTTCTTAGGCAACTTGAAATTACTACACGAGTTATTTCAAATACATTCTAGTTTTCCAACTTTCTGACCATATCAAATGAATTTAACTTATAGTAGATACAGGACCTTGACTGGAATATTGAGGAGATGGAAGACATCCATGCTTTATAACACTTCCATATCTGTTTGTAGAATAAACAGGGCAGGAATCACTTCAGAAACAGACGTATTAGTACACCCAGGCCAGCTTCACTATCATGCAGAAAACAATTTCTGAATATGCTTTACCAATAAAATTGAAATTTTTATTACCACACAGCTGTATAAGCTTTTTCAGGGCACACCGTGGAAGCAGCTTTGCAGTTCCACACAGGGGACATGAGTGCATCCATAAAAACCGAAAAGCTATTCCTCATGATTACTGTTTTCTTCTTCATTGTAAGTCAATAAGTATCTGATGCATAACTTATTTAAAAAGAGTAAATGATTTAATGAAAACTGTGTGTCCAAGCGTAACAGACTTCCTACTCCACTGCCCACCAAATCGAATATGAGGTTTGTATTCACCATTTAATGTACTTGTGTATACCAGTAGCATTACACAACACTGTTTTACTGTAACATTAATTCTACAGGTACCGTACTACTAAGAATAAATATTGTGTGTGTCTCAGAAAGTATTTTTATCAAATTAAATTTCCATTATCAAATAAAATCCTTATCTTCCTTTTAGAAGTGGAATGGAGTAGTCATTGGTTAACTAAAGACGCAATTTCATATTACTGTGACCCTAATGCCATCAGAATTCATGACACGATTCAAGCTCCTCAGGCTTCCCCTTCACCATCACGCACCTTGCCCTGTCTCCTTCCCAATTCAGGGCTTTTACAAAAAACTAGCTCTACAGAGGAATGGCAAAAATTTCTCTGCCAACTCAGCAGAAACGAAGCGCAACAACAGGAAGCAGCTTTTGGTGGCAGGTAACCGAGATTTCTTTAGTGGGCACCTGAAACTCAGTCTGAGGTTCTGGTCAAGGTACAAACACCTATTACAAGCTTCTCATCGAGTAGATCCTGAAAAACAGGACATTTTTTGTTGTCAGCCTATGTGTTATCAGAGACCATGTGCTGTAGTTACTGCCACAGGATTAGAACATGCTAGCACAGAACAGAAGCAACACATACAATGTGCTTACGTGTACCCTACTTGCGTGCCTAGGCCAAGTTTTTAATTTTTTCTTTAATTACCTGGCAGAAACAGAATTGATCCATGCAACTCCTGGTATTCAAATCGGCCTTGAAATGAGGAATTTCTTAAATGGCATAATTTTATCTTGCCGTGAAATTAAAACTCTAACTCCACTGAAAAATCCCAAATTGTCCATACCTACATTACTTTTTTGTTCTTAAGTTCCCAATCAGACTTTTATTTGTTTTGAAATAAATTTTAGCTATTAAAGGGAGTTACTTCTAATAACCTGAGGACAGAATTTTCTTCAATTTAAGCAAAGGCAAATAAACAGAGTTGTAACAACATTATCGTTGTAATCCTAAATATGAAGGCACAATCCTCTCACTACAATACTTCTCTTTTTGGCACACAGATCCATCAGCCGGTATCTCAAAATCACACATCATCTTCATAAACTGCTGTTATCCATTAGAGGGCAACACACACATCATTAAAGGTAAGTGCAACATCAGAGACAGAAAAATTAAAAGCTCAAACAGAAATAAGAGTAGTAACTATGCAGATGGAAAGTATTTCCAATATGGGGATTATGAACTAGATAGAAGTAAACAACATGATATTCCTAAAAAATTAACGATGAGCAGTCATTGGAACACGTTACTGGAAAGGCAAACCTACCATTGGTGGCTTTTAAGGAGGAGTTAAACATACACAAACTGTAAGTAACCTCAATTTACTTGATTAATGCAGATGCACTTAATCTTGATTCAGAATTTGATCCGTTCTCCCATAATATAGTTCCTTTCCTTACTTTCAAAGAAGTCATTACACAAACCCACAAATGTAACAAAACCAGAAAGACACAGGTGTGGGCCAAATAATCTACAAACAACTCCCTCTCCCCATTCTGTCTAACAAGTTACCTTTGCTTTTAGAATAATCTGGCAAATTTCAGGTCATAAACATTCCTTCTTCAGAGGGTCTAGCAGAGAAACTTCTTTCTTCCTTAATAACTAACATGGTCTCATTAAGTGGGATTTGTCTTTTTTTTTTTTTTTTTTCCGAAAGATCACAGATTATCCACAACCAGAAGCATGAAATTGGACAACAGGAAGTCGTTATTCCTTAGAGATACTAAAAAACCCCACACTTTTTTTTCTTTTGTCTGGTCAGCAGGTCTTTCTTACACTTTCATCCATGAAATAAACAGGTTATTTTGGAGTCGCTACACATTCTCCCCTGCCTCCTCACCACAACTCAGGTGAGATTAGTGAAGACAAGTGTGTCTTCCTCCTCCACCTCTTGCCGTTTAGGAATGACCTACCTTCCTAGGTCATACAGCAGTCAGACAAAAAAAAAAAAAAAAAAAAATCACATGTGCTGGTCAATGACATACAGGTACCCCACTTTTGTTCTTGCAATGTTATTAACCAACTTGAGTGATTAGAGTTTGCTTGGGACTGCAAATACTACGGCACTGACCTACAAGCAGCACCTTTTCTGTGCTCTGGAATATGGCTCTGCTCAACATAATGGGAATACATAATATTAAGAGCTCCATGCTTTCACCCTCTGAAGAATTCTTAACACAGTTTGTAGAGGTAAAGAAACTTAAAGCTCCTACACGGTAAGACAAAGTTTTCACTGAAGTGATAAGGATCATGGAGATAGTGTGTTCCTTCATAAATGCAGACAGTACTTCTGCCTACAGAAGGAGATCTAACAAATAACTACGCTATCATCTTGGGAAATAAAAATGGAACCAAAGTACATATCAAGAAAAGAGAATCATACAAAATCCTTCTGTTGTTCGGGAACTATGGCTTACTGAGTTTTCAGTTGCCTTCCACACCTCAGCTGCTCAAGGAAAATTTATTCAAAATAGGTCTAGAAAGATATAAGCATGTTAAATGACTCAACTGTGTGAAAGTATCAAATATGTATAATTCCCGCACATAAAGAGTAGAATTAAAATCTGATCTTTCAACTAAGAACTTGGAATCCAACAGGTTCATCAGCCACTAGATTTCTTTTTTCTAATTCCTGCTAGAGATGAGGACATGTATGCCAGACATGCACCATCACAATTCAGGCACATTTGAAAATATAATTCTTGCTTTTCAAATTATTTGCCTGTATTATTATTACTTGATTATCCCTTGAAACAGCAGTCCTAAATTTCCCAAATGTTACGGAAATCTTTTTTCTTATTAAAATTAAAACATACAATTATTTTTCAGTAGTTCCCTAGAAAAGATTACGAAAAGCAACAATGGATTTTAGCCGAAACTCAATGTGATAATCATTAGTAGGACAGTAAAGAAAAGGTGGCTTCTTTGGCAACTAACTGGAACAAGTAAAGAGTTTTCCACGGAGACTGTAAGTTCAGAAAGAAGGAAAAGTAATGACACTTGCTTAGAAGACTATAAAGTTACGGAAGTTTTAAAAGTAGGCTAACACACAGAATTGCAAACAGCGCATTTCTGAAAACAAACATGAATATACACACCATCTTACCTGTACAGTAGGAACATCTGTAAATGCTTTAATAAAGTCATCCTCATCCACAGCTCCAGCTCCTCCTTCTTTGGAGGAACCTAAATAAATGTAAAGTGCTGTTAAAATGGTATGCAACGTACACCAAGGTTTTTCAAACTGACCTAAGCATCTTTCACAACATCTATTTTCAAACATTTAATATAACTTACAAAAATCCTGAACATTCTTCACATGGAAAATTGCAAGACCTTGAACTCTGATTTCACCATGAAGAAAAAAGTTGAAATTTTTCACCAAAAATTAACAATTCTGAGCAGTTTCCAATTTGACAAAGTTAATAATTTAATTTTATTATTTTTATTCTTGTGATTCATTGTAAACATGTTTAGTATAAGAATCCTCTAGTAGCTGTTTGCATAGAATTCTGAGACCTGCATCCTGATAATATAAGTGCTCCCAACTAAATCATAGAAGTTGGAATTATTGATCAAAGCAAGACTTGTCATTAAAGGAAATTCCTCACGATGAGTTTTCACCTTAACACATGTGCCATCAGCCCTGGATATTTGGAGGGCTGTGTCTTGGTTTGGGTTTTGTTGTGGGGTTTTGGGGGCTTTTGGGGGGGGTGTGTGGTTTTTTTATTTGTTTGTTTTTGTGGGATTTTTTGTTGTTGTTCTTGGGGTTTTTTTGTTTGGTTTTTGTTTTTTGTTTTTTAAATCTTGCATAGTAGCCCTACATGACTCATTTACCTTGTGCTTCCCAGTATTCTCATGAGGAGCTAAGAAGTGTGAGGTGCATTTCTCAGTCTCCAAAACCAAAGAAAGGAAGGACATCATGAAGGGAATCTGCGTTGGAGCAAAATCTGAACTCCACTGACTGGTGGCCTCCTCGGGGCGCTCATCTCCATGGGTGTTCCACAGTGGGGCTCCAGGATTGTGTCACCTGGAGGAAGCTCTCAAGAACCTTCCAGACACACTACTAATAAACTATCACACCAAAAATGTTTTCTCTGCAAAAGCTTTCATGGCAGCTATGCACGGGGTAGGGCAGTTACTTCTGTGCGAGCTAAATGATGGAACTATTCTCACATAACAGGCAAAGATGCCCCAAATCCCCAGGAAAAGGATTCACTTTCTTGCAAATACTGAAGTTACCAAGAAAGACCTTTAGAAAAAGGAATCTATCAAACCAAAGAATATGGTCATCAGATCCAGGCTGTGCTACAAGCCTAAAACTCCAAGTACAAGGTGAAGCTTGGCAGAATCCTTAAGTATCTTCAGTAGTCGAATTGGGCACATAATATAACAAGACAGGTTAACTGCACGGAGGTAATCAGTCCAGTAGAACATGTCCTTCTTGAGATCAAAAAAAATAACCTCTTAGAGGAAATGAGCACTCAGGAATAAGGGTCTTGTCTCAACTCTTTCAGAGCGAGGCCAAGAGGATAGATGGTAGACTGTCCTCCCTAACTTGCAAAGGACAGCTGAAATGGAAGCATCAGGCAGAGAAGACATGTATTTTACTAAATACAGAACAAATAAAAACCATAAGGAAAAAGCAGTTAAGGCTGAGTGGTCAACTAAAACAAAAAGCTAGGACTTCTTGACAAATCATACTCTTGGTCACTGCACTCTTAAAAACCCATGGGTTTATAGTTTACAGTCCCTGATCTCCTATTTATCATACAGGAAATTATGTCTGTTGTCTTTGTATACTTGCACAGTTTGGAAACATGAGGGTCCCCTACTACTACAAATTTGATGGCGAACTTACCAGATCTCAACTCTATGCAGAACAAGATCTCCCACATGCCTTTGGGGCTGCTTAGTGTAAAAACACCGAAGTGCTATTTAGCAAAATTTGGACATGGTGCCTGCAGTATTTTGCTGTTTAACAGATTTTGACAGCCTTAGCTCAAGGATGCTCTAAAGAGATGCTGTACATAACACACTTCTACATGTACATCTCCAACACCATCTGTCATAATTGCCAAGAGCAGCCAGAAGGGAAAGAAGAAATTAGAACCACCTATTCCTTCTCCGTCCAGACAGCAGAGGGAACAAGTCCTTCCACAAACTGAACAAGTATCTAATCAGCTAAGAAAAGGAAGAGGGAAAGATCCTGTTTACACCCAGAGCACACCCTTCTGCCACACAAACTTGTACAGCTCCTAAAAGAGATTCCCTGGTCAGAGCAGAATTTCATGGTGAGAAACTCTGAAAAAAAAAAAAAAAATTCGGCACAGGGGCACCATGCTAAACTAGGTGGTACAAACCACCGCCAGGACATTCAATTCATAACCTCATTTGTCCCTCCCACAATACTCCGAGTCAGACTCACAGTACCAAAATAATCACAGTCAATATGCAGTACATATTAAGGAAAAACAAATGGAAAAGAAAGCTTAAGTAGCCAAAAGGTTACCAGAAAACCTAATTTTTAAAGGTTAAAACATAGTTTTCATGTTTTAAATGTTTAATAATATATAAACAACAGTGCATAAAAGGTTTCTGTTATTATCAAAATTGGTTTAGTCAAACCTAATCTACTGTGTTAGTCACAGTACAGTAAACCTCTAGGAAGCTCACACTACATGTTTCTCCGCAACTTGATAAAATATTAAGAATATAGTGACCCTGTGACACTAGAGGCAACCTCCTTCCTCCACACTTAACAGTTTATGCAAGTCCTGTATTACTATTCAGTTACACAAATACCCAAACGCCACTGTTAAAGCAGTGAAGGAAGTACTTTGCATTCCCATCCATTACTTACCCATTGTCTGCCAAGAGAATAAACTTACAGAAAACAAATATTAAAAATTGACACATACAGGCCATGAACATAACAAAAAATGTTTTGATTTCAAGTATTCTTAGTCCACTCCTGTACACTATAAATCAGAGATTTAAAGGCAATGAAATTGCCTTTGCTAAATAAGTAGATGTTGTTGTCTTTAGTCTGTCTCAAAATATCACACTTAAAAGCAGAAAATTTTATGGACAATTTCTGACTTTAAAGAGAGAAAGAAGAGGGACTGACTACTATTTAAAAACCATTTGACATAGCCCAGGGACATGGCACTTCCCACCTTCCCTAGTCTCAACAACTACTTCACTTCTACAGACCACTTTTCCTTTGAAACTAATACTCCCAGAAAATTATTTGATCACCTCTCTGCCTGATAAGAGAAAAGGCTATGTGTTTTTTGGGCAGATGACACTTGAAAAAAGTTATCTCTAAAAGCACATTCACTAATATTTTACTAATCTTTCTCATCCTCTACTGCATGATCACATATGTATACCAAAATAAAGTGTAAAGGAACTGTCTTCTCTTTATATTGCAGAGAAGTCAAAGTCCATACTGCAAGAGGAGGAAAAATATTGTTCAACCTTCCCCTTTCTTTTCCCAATCTCTTGGTCGGTATGTTTACTGATTCACTCAGCCACTGTTTCTGTAGAGACTAAACAAAAAATGACAGAACTCAATCCGCTGTTTCCCAATTCAGGAGAAAGTCTTTTACTATGCCAACAAAATACATAATAAGTCACAGACAGGTACATGCCTTCAAACTTCCCATGCTTTTGTAAGGCTTGACTCTCCTCTACAAAATCAAGAGCAGAGCTTTACAAAAGTCTCCTTTCAGACAGTACTGCCTTCGGACTCAAAATTGACATATCTGACAGAGCATCCACATTTTGATACGCTGTTTTGTTGTTGTTACTCTCTCAGACCAAGATGTGATTATAAATGTCTTAGAAGTAGCTCTCTCGAGTGTTAATGCCTTCCACTGAATAATGCATGTTCTTAACTGTACCCACAGAACACATTGATCCCTTTAAGCACCCAGCAGATAAGGAAAATGCAAAGCCTCATCAACTGGCTTTTTCTTAAGTGAGTGCAATTTACATTACCCTACCGTTGGACTCAGCCCACTGAATCCAACTAGGCCTCCCTCAGCTAGGACCCAGAAGCCAAATGCATCCGAAGGAGACGCAGAAGTGTCTTGTGTGGATTGTTATCTACATTGTGTGTTAGTTTCCATTCAGAACCTTTTCTTATTCTTATACTTCATGCATCCTGGTTAGATGGACTCACAGAGAGACCTGAAAGCCTGAGTTCCACTTCAGGAAGCTAGTGAGAATCTACTGAACATAATAAACCTGCTATAGAAATAAATCACTACAGCATGTATGATTTTTACAGGGTCTTTGTTTTTTTAGCTTGTTTGATGTGCCTGGAGATGGAGACAAAGGAAATACTCCTTACTTCCTGCAGACTACTGAAAGAGACAACATCTTCAGAAGTTAAATGTAAGGATTGTGAACATTTTGTGAGGCCCTAGGAGTCTTTTTCTTGTAGAAAGTTTCTTCTGTTCACAAGGCTTCTCCTCTTCCGACTGAAATGTTAGAAATCTTTCCATCATACCACGACGACTTTGGACTGCTCACTTGCTATACTACCTTGATGCTCTCACCACAAGTATCTACAAAGCTGTACATCATAGGATGACAAAACAGCAGGACAACACTACGCAGGAGAAGAAAGATACCGTGACAGTGATACCAGACTAGTATTTCTGTTTTGAAAAAAAGAACTGTTTAATCAAAGCATACAAGTGCTGGTCTACAACTACAAAAAATTGCTCAACTTGTATTTGGTAGCACACCTTTACTAGTCCGATCCATCTTTTTCTACTTCTATGGGTCTCTTAACAAAAATTTCAGAACAAGTTTCCCTGTGAAAAAAGGGAATTTCAAAACCAGTACAGAAGCTTAGGAGTCACTTAGGAGTAATACAAACTCTAGCACTTTATTTCACTTTTTGTTCTTAAATGCTTTTCCCAAAAAACTGCCCTAAAAAATTCATAACTGTTTTCTGATTCAACATGAATCACAAATCAAACGTTAGTAAATTTGAGAAGGGTAAGGTTATACAAGTGTCTCTTATCCCTCAAAAATCCCTAAGTGCATGCAATAACAGCATCTTACTGTGCAACACAGCTAAAGGAAGATGGTGTAGATTGCAATTTTTTCGGGGTTGGGGGACAAACAAAAAACCTCCAAAAACCTAAAGCTACACCTACATGTCAACT